ATTTAAATCTAATTAAAAATCTAATTAAAAAATCTAATTAAAAATTTTTATCCTCGTTTATATTAGAGAATACGACATAAAAATATGTATGTATGTTCAGTAGCATTTGGAAATAATTGAAAGGGGAATAGAATACCTTCTAACAGTTTTTCTTTCTATTTTGCGTATAAGAGACTCTAATAAAAAAAGACATATCGAAACCTTGTGTCAATCTTTTATTTTTTCAATTTTTCAATGTGAAGAAGTAAAAGCAGTGACCCTTTAAAGTAGAATAAACTGCATTTGTCAAGAAACTCAGCGTTTCACGCGCAAGAAAAACTTTTAATCCACATAACATTCGTGTCTCCTATTTTCTGACAAATCGTAAGGATATTTTCATAAGATTTGCGATGTAGGTAAAGCGCATTTATCCCGTAAAAAAATCCCGATATAGACTTACGAAATATTCAGTCAAAAGAGTCTCGAGGAATTTTCTGATATAAAAAGTCGACAGTGTCTCGAGAAATTTTCTGACATAAAGAAAAATATGTACATGTCGCTCTAAAAATAAGCCGCTATTTTTCGACTTTACACGTATCGCGTATTTATGAATATATCATTACTAAGAGATAGAATAGATACATCAGACAGATACATCAAGATAAGGGATTAAATTTTTTTTTTTAATTTCTCAGAAATTAAAAAACAGCTGACTTATATAAAGTTCAATTTTTAATAAAAACTTCTCGCTTTGACATGTACTTTAAAAGTTTGATCTTTTCCACAGATATTTTCGTATTTATGGTATACTTTCTTTCCTGACGTCAAGATCCACCTGAACTATAACATTATATATCTCATATTAGGAATTTCCGAGGCGGATCGCCTCGATATTGGTCCGACATGTGTTCCATGAGGATGCGATACGGGGAGACGACGCCTCTCGCACAGATGTATTCGCGTCGGCTGGCGCATATATGAATTCTCACGTCGACGAAATTTGTCGGTGGGCGTCGGCGTCGCGCCGTCGGTGCGTCTAAATTAGGGCAGAGTAACGCAACACCGATTCTCTCTCCTCGAGAGAACACGACGGCAAATATCTTAATAATCATCACGTACGACGATCTGGAATGCGTTCTTCGCGGCCGCGTCACCGTAGCCGAATTGCTCCTCATTTCGAAACGAATCAAAGTATCAACATACACCCACATCAAAGGTGTTTCGAGTCGACTTCTACCGAAAGCACATCTCATATAACCCCGACGATTTTTTACATTTATTTATTTTTATATCATTGTAATTATTGTATATTTATATATTGTATAAATGATTATACATGTTGTTAACTTTTAATTGTTGTTAAATTTTAATTTCATTTTAATTTAGGATAATTGTGATGTTATTGCAATTATAGTGTTATTACTGTGGCCTAAATCTAAATCGCGAAAGCGGCGAAATAGCTTTTGGCAAGATAGCGTTAGCACGCAAATTACTGTTTAAAAATCATGTCACTTGTTTGAAAAATTTCGATGAATCACGTTGACTGTGTCTTTAATTTTGCCTTAATTTTACTGATGATGGCGATTAAACATTCATTAATTCTGCGAAGCGTGGTCTTTCTAATCTTTATAAATAGACGCGTATTAAGAACGAGCTCTCTCTCTCTCCCTCTTTCTCGCTCTCTCTTTCTTCTCTTCGTGCCAATATTAAGCAAAGAGAATCGCTGTATTGCAACTCGACGCTATAACTTGAATCCTCAAAATGCGAACGGGAATTCGAAGAGTGCAATTCGCGGAGCAGAAAAAACGCAGGATGAGATTCGGCGCAGGAACTATCTAACATCAGAAAATCCAAAATCATTATAAATAGAGCTACCGGAGGGCAGGGAATTACAGAACGGAAGCTATTCATAGCGTTGCAGCCATTTTCCGGGACTCTCTTCGCGGCGTTAAACTTAGATACCGCGTGACCCAACGAATCTCAGATCCACGCAGGCAGAAAAATGAATTTGGCCGACGAGTAGGACTCGATAAAATATGTACATCAAGGATTATCGAATTATATCCGAGAAAGAGTTGCGTCGCAGTTTGAAGTGCAACAAGTTTGTTTCAACTGCCAAAATATCTGTGACGTCATGGAACCGACGAAGAGATAATAATCGACAATAGATTTGTATTTTTCGAATCGTGATATTTATATCCCTTGGTGTCCGACGCGAGTAAAAATAGATGAAACAATTCGTAATTGAAATTCGCGATTGTCCCTTTAAGATTAGTTCTTCGAGCAATCATTCATGACTCATTGTTGATCAATCATTCATGAATCATTGTTGACTTGCAATGTGCTCTTAAAATCACACAATACTCTGCTTTGTTTCAAAATTTTGATATAAATAAAATAATTATTTTTTTTTCATTCAAAATCTGACGCATTATTTCTTAAGAACATTTCATAGTTTCAAAACGTCATCATGTCACGGTTTCAAGCAGTGACTATTAATAATTATCGCGACTGCCTTTCCTCTTTCTTCGCGGATGTAACAGATTTAAGTTTAGCTGTGACGAGTAGAGAATTGAGCATAATCCTAGCATAAGGCCTACGGTTTCCTTTGCAAGAATATCCTCCTGTCAACTATGTGTCATTTATCTCGCTGTCTTCGATCGCTTATCGTCGAACCGATGATCAATGACAATCTCTAAAGTTAACCCAGATTTCGGTTCTCGATGACTCTAATTATGCCTAAGAGAGATTTCTCGTCAGATGAAATCGAATTTCTAACAAATAAAATTAACGATCTGCAATAAAATAAGTTTAATAGTTTTTGCGAATTTTTGTTAAAAATTTTTGTTAATAGTTTTTGCGAATTTTTGTTTAATAGTTTTTGCGAATTTTGTTAAAATAAGTTTAATAGTTTTTGCGAAATTTTGTTAAAAAGAATTTTCTTCAAATTTCACGAATTTCTGTTACGATAATTTCAATGAAAATTGAATCAATTAACAGTGATTTTTTAATAATTTAATTTTTTTTCAAAATTCCAGACGAAAAATTTTAAAAAATCTTATATTATAATAATATCCTCTTTCTCTGCTTTCACCCATATCCAATTAACGTCATCAGTCATTCAACATCAATCAAAAAACATCAAATATTTATTGGTCGAAATATATGTATTAAAAATATGTTGCGTGGATTTTGTAAAATCCGCGAACGGTTCTCACAACGAGTTTCAGATCGAGTTGCGATTAACATAAACGACGTGCGGCGAGTCCTGTCGCACGCACGTCACAATTTCCCTGATCATTTCAGGGTCATGGACATGGACAACATTTACGGAACAAGAGCTAATATGATATCCCTTGAACTCATCAAGAGTAGCCACTAAACACAAAAACAAAAAAAAATTACAAGGATAAATCACAAGCCCTGCGCGGGAAAGATCCATTTATCCTCCGGAAGTCTCAGGAGTTTGCGGCTATTTATATATAATCCGCTTCACTCTGTTATTAAAAAAAACACAACAAAAAAAAAACGAGAGACATCCATCGAATTTCTACCAAATCAGGATTTGTGTTTCGCGAGATTAAATTGCGAGCTCCGTGAAGCTGTGCCATGTAATGAGAATAGTATATAATAGTTTCGTGAGAGTCTCTGTCTATCTTTCTGGAGAGTTTCCGAAAACTTCCGTCTATCCTCCCCCCTGTGCCCTTTGAACTTTCTCCGGCTGGAAAGTTCGACCGTTCACCGTTTTCCGGGACACCGAGTGCACGTTCTCTCGAGTACAGGAGCAGTAGTAGTAGCTGTAGTAGTAATAGTAGTAGTAGTAGTAGTTATAGTAGTAATAGTAGCAGTAATCAGGTAGTATAGTGCTAGTATAATAGTAGTAATAGTAGTAGTGGTATAAACACAGTGGTCGGAGTGAAGTGTGGAAGTCGAGATTTGTCTCGGTGATGACTTTGGCGAGTCGCGACGTCGAGCTCGACGACGAACAGCAGCTACGAGGATTCTCGTGGGATCCTCGACGAGGACGAATCGGATCGCTCGGATCATCGGGATGTTTCCGGTCGCTCTCTGTCGTCGATCGCGACCTCGTCGACGAACCAAGTGCCAAGTTCTCAATCGTCGCGAAGCGACGTCTCAATCACGGCAATGTCGGTCGTGACCGCACCAAAATCGCGACCGACCGAATGGGGGTCAACGTTATACTTTAATCCGTGTGGCTTATCTTCTCGGCGATATTATAATTTGCGAATTAAATTAATGTCCGGAAATTTTTCCATTTCTTTTTTTCATTGAGATCTCTGGGTTTCTCTTGGAAGTATTTATAAAAAATATTATATTTTATGAGACTCGAGTAATTTTTTTGGAAAATCGAGTAAATTCGATAATGATAAAAAAATGAAAAAAAAATTTACCGATGCCACATCGAGATTAAAAGTTAATAAGCATTAGACATTTTTTCCGACATTTATATATATATATATTTTACTTTATTATTGTGAAAAGCTATATTTTTTATATATATGATTTAAGTTTGACGTCGAAAGACTACAAGTAAAACACGTGAAAAGTCATTAAAAGATTATTTAATTCTTTCGATTGTGTCTTCAATGCTTATCATCTTTTAATATGTAATCTCTTGATCTTCAGAAAAATTTCTCAACTATTTAATCTTTGAATTATTAACATCGCGTTGATCATCTGACGATCGAAATTAGTCAACTATCGATCGTTTTTTTAATCCATTTTGGCTCGAATTGATTGATCTTCGATTTTTTGACACACCGAATAGACAGATCAGTCGATGAGACGTCGATTCAGTGAGATCACACGGGATGTTGATTTTGGCTGCTATAACGAGGTACGAGGGGTTGGAATTTCCTGTCGCAAATGGGGCTCTCTCTCTTTCTCGACGTTAGTACCACGTGTAGCAAAAAAAAAACATTATTAAGACATTTCCAGTCCGCCTTTTCTTGGCGTAGGGAAATAAAAAGAAAGAATGCAGAATCTCTCAGAATACTGACCGTGACGCTGTAGGAAGAGAGCGGCCGCGAATAGGGTCGCCGAGTCGTGTAGAAGTCGCTCTCGTAAACCATGGTTGCAGCTGCTGGGCTCGCCTGGTCTACTGTCGAAGTTTTTCGGGTGCTTGGCTTAGCTTGTCGAGGAGTCAGGCTCGCGCTCGAGCTCTCTCAACGAACGTGAGTCGTATTTTCGTGCGCGCGTACGAGGGGATGGGATACGCGACGACGATGCGATCGCGATGGAGGTTCGTACGTCTCTGCTGCCAGGTTCTGCTTCCTCGACTGCCAACGTCGCTTTTTCCTCGTCTTCTTCGTCCGGTCTCTCCTCTCCTCGATGTTCCTCTTCGTCCACTACGCGGGCGAGAACATTGCGTCATTCACTCTTGGTCCCCTTCGAGAGAGCAGATGCATCCGTGAAAAAAATAGATTTGTGTTAAGGTTGCAGGCGGTTACTTTAACAATGTACCCTTATCTTGTGATCAACATAGAGATCACTTCAAATGCACCTCAAAAGTGTCTTCGTAGAAATGAAATAATTTGGAAAATAAAGTATTATATTTTTTATTTAATTTTGCTTATATATTATATTTATATAAAATTCAATATATCTTTTTACCGTAACACTTAGCTTATGATCAAGATAGGCGAAGTCGTCCCAAAACACCTCAAAAGTGTCTTTGTAGAAACAAAAAAACAATGGAAAATAAAGTATTATATTTTTTATTATATTTTATAATTATATTTTTTATACTTTTTATTTAATCTTGCTTATCGAAAATTTAATGTTTCTCTTATTGTAACACTTATCTTATGATCAGGATAGACGAGATCACCTCAAATGCATCTCAAAAATGTCTTTGTAGAAACGAAAAAAAAAATAGGGAAAAAAGCATTACAGTATTTTTTATAATTTTGCCTCAACATTTTTCTTTTGCATCAATTTTTTTCTGACTGATCAGTTCTGTTTGCAATATGAAATCTTGTTTATGAGGCCAGAAAAATGTAGCTACATTTCTAAGAACGATATTTTTAGAAAGAAATACGGCTCGCATTCTGGAACTGGACAATCATGTCAAGGTATATTTAATATTTCTTTTCGCGCGTGGATATAAATGAATTGCTATTCATTTTCATCATGTCAATTCATCTGTGTGTTATTATTCATAATATGTTGCAAATTATAATTTTTTATTGTTGCAAATAAGAATTTTTTTTTTCAATACTTATAAAATTTTATTGCGAGAAGATTTATAAGGAACATTTATATTCTTTAGCATTAATTTAGTTTGAATCTTCCAAGCTGAAAATTTGCAGCGCTAGGGCTATTTTTAGAAAGAAGAAGTCCCTTAACTGCCTTTTACTGTCAAAATCTCTCTTGTCACAATTCGTTTAGTTTTTCAATAACAAAAACGCAATTCTTAAGAAGAGATTCGCAAAGACGACGCCATTCTTGCGTTTGTTTATTCGCGATTGTAATGTATACAATAATAAATTCACGTTACACACATCAGATATTACACTGGCAGCCCTCCAAGATTTTGCACAATGATCCACATTCGAATTCAGTGCCAAAGTTTACTCGTAGAATACATAATGCCTCGCACAGATCGTCGAATCACTTGAAGACGAGGAAAACATGATTCGTGGAGGGAATAAAAAATAAAATCGGATCGACATATCGAAACAATATAAATGCATTCTTTTAAACTCTCAAAAAAGAGCAAGAAAAAGAATGAGAATTCTTATTTGATATTGTTGTCAAATAAGATTAGATAGTGATTTTTATCGGTGATGCTATTTTAATAATTTTTAAGACGTGTGATTTTAAGACTCGTTGTATAAAATATAAATTGTTTATTTTAAAAATAGCCATAGAAATCAAATGTCAAAACATGAATAAAGTTTTTTGTTTTTAGCAAATTCGTAAAATGTAATTCACGACATTATTGAATTATATAAATGAATAATTAAATAAATTATTCATGTATGCATATGCAATGATTAGGTAATTGCAGTTGAAAATTGTTGCCCGAAAAAATTTATTTAGTCGACTGGAGACGAGCGATAAATCGATCGTATATTTTTGCAACTGAAAATCTAACACCATAAATTTCGCGAAACAAAAATTCGTGTCATTCCAAACAATATTTCTGCGACAAACGATTAGACAGATGATATATCTCGAAGTGTTATTCAAGCCAGTGATTTCCTATTGTTTGGAAGACAATATAACATCGGAATTTAATGTCTTTGAAATTTTTTCAATACAAAAAGTGCGATAAAAATAGAAGAAAAATGACGCGCTCTAGATATTTAAATTTTATAATAAAAATTATTATTCTATCATATAACTTAATAAAAAAATAAGAAAATATGAAAGATATAGTATCAAAATATAAGAGGAATGAAGAACATTACTTCTTGAATTTATGTTCAAACTAATAAATCGATAAAAATGAGCTTAATGTAAAGTCCTTTTAAATTTCATGTCCCAACATTATCAAATATTTTTCTCCTGATCTAGCTCGAATAATTGTCCCGAATAATGGAATATTGCTTTATTACGATTGCATTGAGTTTATGAAAATGCGCATTTGTAAAATGCGACTGTATATATGTGCTTTCATAACAATATTATTTACTTTTTGTACATTAGTCTATACAAAATGTTGCACAAAACGCACCCTCCTCGTCGGTTTACGCAGTAGACAAATGTCGACATATGGCGAACACAGTATATAAAAAAGTTTTAATAACAAAGAAATGAACCACTGCTATGCAGTTAGTCCTCGTTTGGTCAGTGAACCTTCGGCTTTGCTGATTTCGCCTTCTTCAGCTTCTTCAACCCACTTATATTTGTCTTTAACAGATTCCAATATGCCTGTTGGAATTTGTTTACATCTTTGGAATGAATCTGAAATATAAAAATATCATGTTAGGAAGAGGTAAATGAGCTATTGTCATCTGCCAATTAAAAACAGATACATACAACAGTGGAGATTTTCTTATTGCGAAAAGATGCTCGAACTAGGCAAAGATACTCCGTTGGAGTTGGCAGAGGAGGCCTGCCTTTCCTGGGCACAGGTTTGTTATGTCCATTGACTGCAAGAGAGATAAAAATACGGTTTTAAAGAGAGGGAAGATCTGCATAAAAATAAAAAAAAATATATAGATGTTTATTGAATCTCTCTTTTTCTTTTCTTGTCAAACATATGTAATTCCCCAGAGTTAAAAAGGTTAATGTTTTCCAAATAGATTAATAGAAGCGTGAAATTTTTTTTCTGAAATTTTAGGAACGAATGAATAACAAACGGAGGATAAATAAAAAATACTCACATCTTTTAATAGTGAGCGATACTGAACCAGACAGACGCGACTTCTCAAAGAGTTTGGTTAGCTCCGCTAAGAACTGCAATCAAGATTCACAGAAAATTAGTCTATCGCGTTTCAGGGAGCGATTCGCCGACGAAATGTCAAATTACCGCGTCGTTCTCCAACAGGACCATTCTGACGATAGTATCATATGTTAAACGTCAAAAGGCATGAAAGCAATCGCCCGAAAGGATTGGACCAGAGGTTAGAAACTGCAGCCGCGATTTCTTGCTTTTGACAGAAGCATCGACTACGCGAAACTCTTAGAAGATCCACCCACCAGAAGTCAATCGTAATAAGTGTCAAAAAAATTCCAAGAAATTATATAATATTTTTGTCTCGCAAAACGTATACAGTAAAAATCGTGAGAAATATTTTCTTACAATCATAAACATTCGTATCCTTCAAAACACGTGAAAATCGGGATCAGTCAGGTGAAGATACGTCGAGTCGGTGTCCTCTCTAAATCATTACTAGTAACTTAATGGCCAATGGCTGCCACCTCATCGTGATGTTGACGAGTGTCTGTAAATGTGGAACTTGCTGGTGATACGTTGAGGCTCGCTGGAGCTTTTTCAGGACGATCGTCGACGATAACAACAGCCAGGATGAGTCGCGCTCACGTTGGAGCTTTCCTGGCGATCTTCTTGATCGCTCAGGCACACGGTATCATGTTCTACCTGGAACCAAATACCCACAAGTGTCTCAAGGAGGAGGTCCAAGCGGATGTGCTCGTCACGGGCGAGTACGAGGTGTCCGAGGCGATGGGTCAGAAGACCGATTACGTAGTGAGTAGATTGCGATTTGTATATCGTAGGATGCCTTTTCATTCATTTTCTCATTTCTTTTGTCGAAGTAATCCTGTAAGAGTGAAGGTTAGGAAAGACATACATATGACACATGTCAGTTTCGTTGTGGACTCTGACAGTTGTCAGAGAAAATTTCGCGTTTCCTTCAAATATAATAATATATAAATAAAATTGACTAAAATAATAATAAAATTTACAAAAAAAATTTACAAAAAATTTACAAAAAAAAATGGACATTTAAATCTTTGCATTTTCTTAATTTTTTCACGTTAAATTTTAGTATTTATTTCCATCTATATGAGTTTACATTATCCATTTATTTTGTTTCACTTTTCTTTATTTTACATAGGCATCGTCAAGATAATGAGATACCGAGACATATATTATTATTTTGGACAGTACCCTTTCCTTTCTAATCGTTTCCGATATTTAACACTTTGTTATATATTTTTTATATCACCATCACATTTGCGCTGAAGATGACCTAAAAATAGGGTCGAAACGTCGACTATCCTTTCATTGTCTTTGTTTTTTTCATATTTTTTATTGTATAATAAATAAATAAATGTGTTATAACACTCGACTCGTATTGCTATTGAAATTGATTTGTTAATTTTATATTTCGAGTCTTATACTTTTTATTATTTATAAAATTTACATGAATAATGTTTTGTTCACAGATACAGGATTCCAACGGACACATATTGTCCCAGAAGGAGGATATTCCTTATGGGAAGTTGTTGAAATTCTCCTTTGTAACTGAAACTTACAATACTTTTGAAATATGCTTTGCTTCACATGTTCCAAATCGTATGTATACTTGGGTTTTTTATTTTATTTAATTTGTCATGCTGTGTCTTGTTGCAAAATTAATAGTGATTTGATTAGGCTACTAGACTGGACCAGTATATATAAATTTATATATTTAATAAATTCTTACATAAAATATAATTTTTATTTATATGTGTGTGTGATTTCAGATCAACGTGGGATCAGACAAGAGGTCTCACTAATCATAAAACGTGGTATCGAAGCAAAGAGTTATGAAGGCGTAAGTCTATACAACATACATCATTATAAATAATTATATTTATTATACAAATCATGTATATATCTATCCTATCTCCTACATCATTTAACGAGAAACTATCTGATCTTATTTTGTCTACTTTCTCTTTATATGTGGCTTATTTCCGCGATGCAGTTGGTAAAGTAGAGTTTTCAATATTATGTTTTCACATAGCATGCATTTTGTCATAAACAGGAATTTGTATATGATAGCCAGTTTTAAGATTAAACTGTTAGAGCGTAGTACAATTTCATTACTTCGCATGATTTTATTGCCGATTCCATTAATGGAAGACTATTGGAGTTATTATTTCATTTGCACACACACAATAAATGTTTGACACTAGAATCAATTATATTAACTCTATTAATTGATTATTAAATTCTGTTGAAGAATTTTTTACTATTAATCCTGTCTATGTATTAATATTTGAAAATAATATTTTGATTATTAAGTATTATTGAAATTATCTAGAAAATATCTTACATTTCAATGATTAGATTTTTTAAAAATTATGTTAATGGTACATCCCTGTATCACAGTAATATAATAACATATGCTAATATTAAATGTTTCAGCTTTTTTTCATAATATTAAATAAATTTGATACAAAATACTAAATAAACTTGATTGTACAATATCCTTCAGAAATTACAATATATCTTGTGGTTATATCATAATATTTTTGTTTCTAAAAGAAGTTAATATATAAATTTATATAAATTAAAATATTTGATTATTTAAGTATTTTTGAGTGGATATTTTGTGCAGTTTCTTTGGTACAAAACTTAAACTCAAAATAAGGTCTTTAAAAATCCAAAGATTTTAATAACTAATTTTCTAAATAATTAGTCAACTTTATCTCACTTGACTGCTCAAAGATTAGAGTTATTATAATCTTAGAACTTGCGACATTGCCTAATAATATTTTCTGTTGCTTTCTACAAAACACATACACAATTATTCATTGTTTGGCTTTAATTTTATATAGTAAATGTGTTCTTTTTTTTTCGATTAATTTTCGATACTAACAAGATCATTGAGACTATCACTAATTTCCGTGAGAATTATTATTTTCTTTATTGATAGATCGGCGAAGCAGCCAAGTTAAAACCAGTAGAAGTGGAATTAAAACGATTGGAGGACTTGTCTGAGGCGATAGTGCAAGACTTTGCCAGAATGCGCAAGAATGAGGAAGAAATGAGAGATACAAATGGTAAGAAAAAAAATATTACTTGGAAAGAAAAACATTGCTTAGGATAAATACAAGATATTCTGCAAATATTACTTTTTCAAATAACAGAGAAAATAGTTTTATTAAAAATTAGAATAAGCTTCCAAATTTTAAATAATTGATACAAATTAAAATAGTTTATTCATTTTCGTAATTTTGTATTGCTTTCATGCTACTCGATAATCTAATTAATGACAAATGGGTGTTTTTTTTATTTCAGAGGCCACAAACACTCGAGTGCTATATTTCAGTTTATTCTCGATATGCATTCTTTTCGGTTTATCTACATGGCAACTCTTCTACTTCCGACGTTTCTTTAGGATGAAGAAACTCATAGAATAGATTCGTAACAAATACATTTATTTTTTGAATTTCAGTTTTTGTTATTTACAACTTCATATTTAAATGTGAATTTACATCATAATCTACTTTTTATATTTGCAACAACATAAAAACAAGTAAACTTTTATGACATAAAAGAAATAATTTTGAAATAAACAGGAAAAGAAATGTCAGTCATGTTACCATATTTCAATCAATGTAAAATACGATAGGACTTTTCATCTCACCATACATTACACATATATCACATTATTGAGGATGTAATATTTAAAAAAAATGTAAGATAAAAGTTTTCTTAAATAAAAAATTATTAATATAATATTTATGTTTTTTAATCTCTAGTTGCATACAAACATCTAACTATAAATTAGTCTAGCTATAAATTATACGCTTCGATACTATATAATAAATAAATATAATATAAAAAATATATATGTTCGATACTATAATAAATAAATATAATATAAAAACAAATATATTAAATATTTTATTATATAAGAAATTTATATATATTATTTTATATTGATACTTAATAATGTGTGTGTAAATTTTTATTATATCAATATTAACACAACAGATTCGTACTTTTTAAGATATATATATTACATAAATTGACATTTCTCTTTTATAATATGTATAGAATCTCTTTCATAACATATTGATCAATATATAAATATAATAGTACTTTCATAGTATATGAACTATATATAAAATGTAAAAAAACAGATCATTGTTGTATCATTTTATTTACAAAATAGAACTATCTTATGAAAACAATAAATGGTTTAAAAAATATAATGAAGGAATTTCGCTTGGAAAACAATTAATTTGTCGGTTTAAAGGCGAATATTAAAATATGTCTTAGAATGGTTTAAAAAAGATATTAATATCGATCGATTTAAAAAATATAAAACACTATTAGTTTGTATATATCTTAATTAAATATCGTGTATTTCATATATAAATAAAAATCTAACATTATAAAACCTAAATGCTCTCTTACTTACATTTTTACTTCTAGAGAAATTAAATTAATGGCACACAAACGATCGTAGAAGTTTTAAAGTGCAATTTTATATTCGCAGTATGCTCTTATCGCTAAATATGACGCGACTTCCTTTTTAAGATGAAATATTTTATATTTGAGTGAATGTATTGTTACACACAAGACACTGCCAAGTTTGCCCGAGCTAATTTGTAAAAATATATACTCTAATAAAATGTTTGACCTTCAACGACTTTCGGATTAAGAAAATAACGTATATTTATATTTTACTAAATTTTTTATCAGAAGATAATCAAGCAATGGAATTACAAAATGGAATTCGACGTAACAACGTAACGATTCAAACGCTTAATAGATACAAGAAAAAAATATTTAAATCATGACAAGAAAGTTACATTTCATATATGTATATCGTAATAAATTATGATTTTATATAGGATTAATTCTCTCTCTCTTTCATAAATACCTATACATTTTAACAAAATGCTCATCTTTCAAAATAGGGAAATAATTTACGGTTTTGTACTGTATTAGAGTTATATAATTTATAAATAACTATACATTAAAAAAAAACGCTCGTCTTTCGACATAGGAAAACAATTTACACTAAATATTTCTTTATCACAAAACGTGCAATTAAAATTGTAGTTTCAAAACGGTAAATAGTATTTCGAACTAGATACTACTACCAGATGGAATAAATCCAAAAAATACATAGTTATACATTGCGACAATAAAATAATATATCGTATTCATTGCGAAGGACTATAATCGCTATTATCGTTTTAATGCAATAATTATTAGTGGATATTAATCCATAATAATTCCACGAGATAAAAAAGATGAAATCTGTATTTGTTGCTGTTATATTACGCTCATTTCTACTTATTTTATTAAAATAACATTTATTTATTAAAATAATATTTATTATCGCAATAACTTGCACTGCCATTATTAATAGGCTTATTATTTTTAATTATTTCATATATATCGTTCGTACAATATCCATCTGCAACAAATATTTGCGCGGCTAAAAATTTGTACAGATTCACAATTATGCATTTCCTAAATTACAGTTATGCAACAAAAAATTCGTTTCAATATATCTTAATTCAGATTAAGGAATTTACTTTTTGTATTTTGATTATATATTAACATTACTCATCAACATTAAATAGGAAGACATGTGAAAATTGAAAAAAATGTAAAAAATAAAGAGATTTGATTTGATTAAAATTGATTGTTACAAATATATGAAAATATAATTTTAGAACACATAAATTTTTAAAAATTTTCCTTCAGGCTTTCATAATTAATAACTCATGGTGAAATTAATTCGCTAATTTTTGACATAATTAATTAATTGTTGCATACATTAACATTAATTGTTGCATACATTAACATTATCTAAAACTACAGCTTACCTGAGATAAAGAAGGCTAACTAACGGGATTCAGAGAAGATTTCTAATGATTTTTCATTGTCATTTATATGTTCAATAGAACATTTTGTATTTCCATTATATCTAAAAATATGTAACGTGGAGACAAAAAAATAAATATATATATTTTTTCTTTGAACTCTCCGACAAATCTGGCTATTAAATCTTTTTACATAAAATTGGACCATTATTTCTAAAGACATCTTTTTAACACATTTTTTTAGATATTTCTAATTTTCAAGTTTTCTAGCACTTAGATATTAAGCGCTAAGTCAAGTCTTGAAAAATAAACATCTGAGAATCTTATGAAAAATAACAATGTTTTTCTTAGCGTAGTATGCAACTAGTCTTTTTTAGAACTCCTAGTTTCGAGGAAGATATATTTTCCCTCGTTAGGTACGCGTGACTCAGAGAAACGGCGCTACTCTTGGCGCATATAGTATGTACTCATGTGAGGAATAAATTAAGTCCCAAATGAACTATAACGACGTGTCGTGGAGAAAATTGTCGAGGCGGAAATCGGTCGTACCAAGCTATTCATCGCTGATTGTTACATTTGATGTAACAAATGTTTCTGCTGTTCTTTTCTGCTGTTCCTTCGCGTTTTGGCGTCTCAGATCGTTGGGTATTATGAACGCGAGCAAGATGCCAATTCCAAGTCCGATGCACATCGCAATGTTTGCCCATAAATCGCCCCATTTTCCAAACAAAAAACTGTAGAGCATCGTGAAGATAAAGCTGAAGACTTCCATCGCCGCGTTCAACAGACCCGCCGCCGTTCCTTCCGGTTCCGGATATGTAAGCTCAGCAGCGAACTCAAAAGCGACCGATAGATAACCGCTAATGAAGAAGCTAGAAACAAATTTTTAAAAAATTCTAAATTAAAGACGACGGTTATCTATCAAATGCGCGAATTTTTAAGGAAAGAACAATAAATTTTAATGAGAAAATTTAATTTTAATAAAAGACCAAAATGTTTCTAAGAATAAAATATTTCTTCTAAAAAGTTTTTGCGAACGATATAATAAATATAATCTAAATTTTACCTCAAAATGCTGGTCGTGATGTAGATAACATATATCCCTTTGCTATCCAGTGTCACAGTAAAGATTATCATTCCTATGAAATCGCATAGGCAGACTACTAGCGTTGTCTCCCTGAAAATTTACAGATTCTCCTTGTCTTTTTAATTTTTTAATAGATTTTAATTCATATCATTCGATTTAATAATCTATTTGATGAATTATTTGCAATATAAGATCTTATCTCTTGATAAGATAATTTTTATCATAAACTTAATTCACCGATTTGAAAAAATCAAGGTAAATTGTTAAATTACAACAATTATCTATCAGTTACGCGCATGGAAAAGATAATGAATCTTTTTGAGATAGAAATCTTTAACAAAATCTGGCATCAAAGTATAAAGCGTTTTATAGCAAATCACTTTAAATAGAAATCAATGTTTATAAATTAAAAAACGCATATCGTGAAACTCGTAACATTGCTATTGTTAAAATAGTACTAATTTTGAATAAAATGATATATTGTTGAATAGTAATCATGACTCGCTCTCTTCGTAGAATCTGATTACTCACTTGAACTTGTGTGTTTTATCTAATATAACACCGCTTATAACACAGTTCAACACCCCGATGCAAGTCATCGTTAAGCCGATACGACCAACGTCCTCTTCATGTCCCTGAGAGGAAGAAAAATAGCAAATTCTATCATTTTTCAGAGAATCAAAAAAAATTCACATAAAATTGAAATACTTAACATTAATAATTCTAACAATTTTTGTATAAGATTAGAATCCAAAAAAAAATCCAAAGAAGCGAGAATTTGTAATTTTTTGGAGGAAAATACCTACCGGGAAATATTTGAGAATAACTTGATTTAACAGGGTGCTTATGGCGCTAAAGACGCCCATATTGATGCCATAGCTGACTAAAAGGAAAATGAAACCGATATTGGTGAACAGCCTTTTGATGGAACGAGAAAATGTCTCATTTCCGAAAATGTCCCATTTCTTGTTCTCTTTTTGCATAACTTGAGCAAGGCTAGGTGGTAAAGGCGGTGCCGACTTGAAAACTATAAATTATACTAGTTTCAATTAAGCGATAAAAGAAAATGTGATTTGACAGTAAAATTTCGAAGCTGATTAAGGGGGTTAAACTTGACGAAATATATTATTTGCTCTAAAATATATTTTTCTGACGAAATACCATTTATAAAATATAATGTGTGATGTTTTGTAAGAGAATTATCTGTAAAAAATATGTTTTATTTATTATAAAATATTTTTTTAATTATAAAATTATATAAAATGATTTCTTTTATATTCTTGTTTTTCAGCAATCTTTTTGCAACGAAAGATTCAAATCATTAAATCATCGAAATATGGATCATATTAATTATCACTTGTGAGTAAAATATTTTTTATTAAATTTTTCAGCTTCGAAATTTTATTTTATTCGAATACTATACAACTATACGATATAAATGGAAGCTATACGTACAAAATAATATAAGAACTAGCACGAGCATCGTGAGACCCGCAACGATATAGAACATAAGTCGCAATCCCTTTTCGATGTTGCAAATATCGTCGCTGTTGGGCACTAACATCGGTGGAAATAAGAAACCGATAGCTATACCCAGCTGCAACACAAAGTCAAGGGATAAATGCCCGATAAGAAGTTGTTTTTGAATTCCAGGAAAAAGATTTTGAAAGAAATATTTGCTCTGTTCAATCTTTTTCGGTTGAAGTATAAATAACAATGCTTATCTTGGGGACGTTCATCATATACTCGTATTTATAACAAACAAAATTAAT